AGGCCTCGGTAGAAGTACCAGATTATCCTGGCTTGAGATATGGCTGAATGATGGCGGAGGGCAAGCCAGAACAGTGAATTCCCGTCTCCCTTGTCATCTGAACCTTCCTGCGGCCTCTAAAGTCCTACGTCACACGGTCACACGGAACTTAAGAATACCGAGCAAACACGACCCGTGGACTAATTTATCCAAAAGGGGGGCACAAACGCAACCGACCCCAATAGATGTGACCACACACAACACAGGAGGCCACCAGCATTCACAAGCAACGGTCAGAGGGCCAAGGCAGCGGAAGAAGAAAAAAATCCATCAGCCCAAAGCCAACTGATTCGACCGTTTATTCAAAATTCTGGTCGATTTTTGGACTAAACGCTTTGATAATGGAGAGGCGGCCAAGCTCTCCGAAACGTCAGTAATGCAATTCCGTCGATCCGGTAAGCACTTCATTTTTCTCAGATTATCTGTCCCGATCTCTTACGTTTGCTGACCTGAACCCGTTCCGGTGAGCCCATCATTTTCTTCAAATACTCTAGACACTTGGATGTAGACTGATCAAGCCGCTCCAATTAGCTACTATATTATCTGAAAGAGAAGAAAGAAAGCATTCGGTTAGAACACTAAACAGTGTCAAAAGTGGCCAGTCTTTTGGGAGATTAAAGCTTTCATTGGCATCAATGAACCGAGATATGGCACGCCTTGGATGGTATCGTTGACCGACAAAATAAGTGTGAAGAAAAACTATTAATAGATAAGAAAGCTTTGCCCTTTACAATTCTAGGGTTCGATTTCGAAGGTTTAGGTTCTTCGGGTTATGGTAAAAGCATGCATTTCCACGTTTTTTGTCTAAGCTAAGGTCTGAGCGCAACATCTCAGGGAATTATCTCACAGCCGCATTAAAAGGGATTATCTGTTCAAAATCAGCGCCCCACCTTGTCGCAGACAACAATCGAAACTAGCCGATAAGACGACTTTCCTCATATCATATGGATACACTCACCCCACAGATGAATTTATAATGTCCAACCAGGACTGCATGTTAAGGCGCTATGCATAGGGGGAAGGCAAAAATATGTTAACTTATTTTAGTTTCAGTAATGGTTTCCGGCCCCATCTGCGGATTTGGAAATCTTGTCGAATTCTAACGATGGTTTCCTTTCCTTTTACTTATAAATCGATAAGTAGCATACATTTTTTGTGGTGAAGTGAGAAAGGCAAGCGAATAAACATTCATTTTTTTTTAAAAAAACATGCAATTTTGTGAATGGAGAGTTCTGTAGATTGACAGAAACATGTTTATGAAATTTTAACGTCAGCAGTATTTCAAAAGGACGAGGTCATTCTTGTCCGCACTTCTGTCTTGGAATGTCCTCTGAAAATTAAAAACTTAATGTCAGGGAAACAAGAACAGATCAACAGACCCAATGTTTCATGTAAACCGAATTGAAAACACGGATCATGAGGGAAAAATGGAGGCCGGTTACAGACAAAGTGGACTCAGAATGAAATGTATGCAAAGTAAGCGAGGTGAACACCAAATTTAATTGCGTGATAGACACAGGAACATTAGTTTGACAAATAAGATGAAGCAGGACAGAAAGCGTGGTCTAACTGAAGGGCGGCGACAATTCTAGCTGGTCGATGGACATTGTTTTATCGGCTGCACGCTTTCCCGTCTTGACGCCGTAAACTTGCTCCACCGGAATCCTTTCGCCATACCTGCCCCAACCCTCTGATAAACTCACCTTGCTGGAGGGATCTACCAAGCGTCATGGATACGCAGGCTGTCGTTGAAGTTTTCAGCGTTTCTTTCTCCCTAGAGTTCTTTGTTTTTTGCTAAGCGTCCGTTGTTTCCCAGAGTCCCAATGCAGATAAGACGCGGCTTATCGCAGGTGTAGCATGCATCAGCCAGAACAGTCAGTCTGCGAGTAACTGCCTTTCACCTGTGGATGCAGAGGGTCCTTCGTACTGCGGATTCGTGAAATACCTTTACTGAAGGTCATGTATCTCACCATGATCGGTGATCCTCTAAACTTTTCATTGCCCGTTGCTATTACTGCCATTTGGCAAGATATTTATCTTTTTGAAGTACATAAGATGTCAGGGGGCGATAACTCCTACCATCTTATCTCAACGTCGGTTCGCACTGAAATTTCTCTTCCAGACGGGTAAGTGGACATAAAACGCAGCCATACAAAGGTGAGCTTCTGACTCCTTTGGACGATAGAGATAGCCATTCTGACAGAAAGGGTCATAAGTTACATCTGAAAATTCCTTTAAACCGACATCAGCAGGCGTTTGGGTGGTTACTTTTCAACAAAATTTGACAAATCTCACTCATCGCCTGGCCGTGGGATACAAATCCTGTTTAAAGTAGAGGACGACCATAACAGCTCAAGAGACCCAGGCCCTAAATGAGACAGAAGGCCGCTGAATAGGATTTCTGAAGAATTAGGCAAATCCAGCTAAACACTTTTGCAACGGAAGCAGTCAGTAAGCAAAGATAACTACAAATATGGAATCTTCAAGGTTACTGGTTGTTCTGATTTTAAACCGGCCGTCGGGTTGGAACGGTAGGGGTGGAACGAGAAGTCAAAAAACAGCACATGATTGGCAAATTGGTCAACAACTGTCAGTTGATGGAGACGTCGGAGATATCTTGACGCTTACGGTTCTTTGTACCCCTAGGCAAAGCCGAGTAGGGGGACCCCAAAAAGCTGATAACGGATCAGGCGTATCACCTTCATGCTTCCAGTTCAGTCATGACAAAATCTTCTCCTACGCCTGTGGACACTACTCACCGCCGGTGACTGCTTCGGTGCACCCAACTGTGGTACTTTCAATCGCCGCCACATTTGCAGCGGCATGTTCTTCCGCCGTAGCAACCTCTCCTCCCAGCAGGTCATTCATCTTGATTAGCTGCGTATTTACTATGGTCCTTCCGCCGCCGCTATCTCCGATATCCTCAGGGTGCGCATTCGAAAGTTAGTGAACGGGCGGGCGAAGCGGCGGCTGCGGTGGCGGTGGCGGGGTAGGGGTGGGGAGAACCACAAACCAACTATTTGCCTCAGCGTCGTTACTACTGCTCGACGTCAACTCACTGGGCCGAGTGGGGCGCGCGAGCGGGGGAAGGGGACGGAACTGGAAGTTAAGCCGTTTGATCTTCACCGCCGGCGCCGCCAATGGAAGAAGTGGCACTGTCCGGTTCCGCTCCCAGCAGGAGTCGGGGGTGGTCGAGAAAACCAGCGTGAGGTGCAGCTGCTGCTGCAGCACGCGCTGCCCCGAACCTGCCGCTCGAACCAGCTCCCCATTCCCCTCTAGCGACCGCTAGCTCGCTACACACCCATAACCGCGCCGTCAAAATAATCAAGATTACGAGGTGAGAAAGATTTATACTCGCCTTGATAACTACGCCATTGAACACCGCCGGCGGAGGCAGCGACAGCGGTAGCGGCAGTAACGGCCGTCATATCGGCGGCCGAGCACACACACACACACACACACACACAACCACCGATTACAGGAATATGAAATGTCACTACTGCTAATACTACTTCTGTTTCTAATACTTCATAGTCCGGTCTCTTTGCTTCGCCTTTACTACCCCTCCCCCGTTCCCTGCCTTGCTACGCGTGCGTGGATGTCGTGCACAGTAGCGACATTCATGAAGCAAGCAGGCCCACGCATATACGCACGCACCGCTTGCCATGACTACGAGCGGAAGTTTTGCGGTTGTGCAATCGCAACTACGCAGCAACTCAGTTCCCTCCCCTCTCTCCCCATTTCCTCCTCATCCTCACCACCACCAGCAGCAGTCTCATGGTTTCCCTTTTGATGTTGATGCGAATTTGAGTTATGTTCTCATAGATACGTGACAAGGCACAAAGCGGGGGACGCCGGTTGCCTCGAGGAAACAGAATCTCCACAAGGGGGTGGGGGTGGTGGTATGTTTTTTAAGTGAATCAAAATTGAGTAAAGTCCAGCTTATGGGGCATAGGGTTCACCGAACCTTCGTATTAACTTATTCCCTCTATTTTCTTGTAATTTTCTGGAAACCTAGGGGATGGCGAGCAAAAACAAGGAAGACGGCGATAACATTTTTTAGGGTTGTAAAGCTATTGGGATGCTAAAAATATCTGCTTGATCATGTTTACTTGTTTTTATCATATACGATGTTCAATGTTGAAAACAATGTTTGGTTTGATTATTCATCAGTGAGCGACGCAAACCCTTTTGAGAGTTGAGTTAAGTTTTAATGATGTAGATTTCACCTAACCAGGGAGTTGTCCACCTAGTCTCCCTACAGCCGGTCATAAACCCATATTAGTGCGCATTAGTCAGCGCCCCCTGCCATTATACATGCGGAACGTGCTTGTTCCGTTGTGCCTTGGGGATCATACTAGAAACCTTGCAGACAGTCACAGAGCAACTGGTAGAAGAAGTATATGGGATGATACCGACAAAGACAAGGGAGACCGGAATGGCCATTTCTGGCTTATTAGCCGTCATCAGCCATTAATACTCAAGCCCAAATGTAAATCACTTGAGATTCCAACCCAGGATCTTCGCTCATAGAGTTTGACACTATCATCGAGCCACGGGCTCGTTGTCCTGTCAGTTCTGATCGGGAATATCAATCTCAAGTGATCCACATTTAGGGTTGAGTATGACTGGCTGATGACGGCTAATAAGCCAGAAATGGCGATTTCGGTCTCCCTTGTCTTTTTCGGTGTCATATCATTTATATATATATATATGTATATATATTGCTAATATGTCCGGGGACGCGCATCTTCGCTTCTACTAGCAATATTTTCGGGCGCGAAGCGCTTGAGTCTGCACGGCGTTGGGAAATATTCACCCTTCGTGTGTCTTCTAAGTACGCGCAAATATAATTCCTCCACAGATGCCTTGACAATCATGTGCTTCCAAAGAGCCTGTCCTACAGGCCACCGGTGAACACAAGTCTGGCGAAACGGTGGGTGGCTGAACATGGCAGACGAATGATTAGGGCGCTTCTCCAAGATTGCCATCTTCAACTGCGTAAATACAACAGGGTTTTGAGTCAGGCGGTTAGAAAGTGCGTCGAACTCATCGGTGAGGACGGAGTCACGCATTTGCAACAAGTGATTAATAAATGGGCCAGGAACCTGCGAGCAACAAGAGATGACGAGCTGGCGGTCAAGCTCCAGAGTATAAGCCAATCATCTCAAGAGGAGAACGAAGTCCTGGTGCACAACATGTCCTCTGAGCAGCTGACCCCTGCACAAATGAAAGCGCTGAGTCATGAGGCCTGCTTTAACACCACAGACGCCGGTCCGGTCAATCTCGTGGCCACGGTTGAGTCGATTCTCAAACAAACCGGGGAATCCGACGAAACAAAGCAACTCATTCGACAGCAGGCAACCTCCTTGGCGATGGCGCACAAACCACGTGCAACTATTACCAGGGCCGAGCAGAGTGCTCTCAAGACACTGGGGGCTGACACCAGCATCGTGATTCTACCAGCGGACAAAGGGCGCTCCACAGTTGTGATGGATAAGGCAGACTACATTCAGAAGGCCAATGCCCTACTGGAGGACCGACAGGCGTACCTATCACGTAACGATGAACCGATGAGGAAGCTGGTGACGCAACTGGACAAGACCCTCGCCGACATGCAAACTAGCAAGGCAATAAATAAATCGACACGACTGGCCATTAAGCCAGTAGACGCGGCCGCACCACGCTTTTACGGACGGCCAAAGGTACACAAAGCCGGGGTGCCCCTCCGGCCAGTCGTATCATTGCGCGGCTCACCTACATTCAATTTGGCTAAATGGATGTTCCGAAACCTGAGGTCTCTCACCTCGAACGCGGGCACGACGGTCTGTTCAGCGACTCAGTTCCTGGAGCGGATCAAAGGGATGAGACTTACCGAAGACGAGGTCATGGTGTCATTCGACGTCTCTTCTCTTTTCACTTCGATTCCGCAAGACCTGGCAGTCGAAACGGTCAGCGAGCTGCTCGAGAGTCAGTACGACGAGACGGGCGTGACGATAAAACGGAGACATCTCGTCCAATTGCTGAGATTCTGCCTGAAGACGTACTTTACCTTTGAAGGCACGACCTACGAGCAGGTCAAGGGGACGCCAATGGGATCGCCGATCTCGGGCCTCATCGCAGAGGCAGTTCTCAAAAAAGTAGAGACCCTAGTTTTCGCAGCCTATAAGCCGAAATTTTGGACTCGATATGTCGATGATACCTTCGTTATCATTAAGCGGCAAAAGGTCCAAGAATTCCATGATGTCCTGAACTCTGTTTTCCCTGACATCCAGTTCACAATGGAGGCGGAAGCCAACAACCAACTGCCGTTCCTGGACGTTCTAGTCCATCGAAAATCCAATGTGCACTTAAAAACGACGGCGTATAGGAAGGCCACTAATACACGCCAAATCCTGAGCTTCCACAGTAAGCACCCGTTGTGCCACAAACGCAGTTGTGTGCGAAAACTCTACAGAAGGGCAGAAACACACTGCAGCGAGCCGGACGACAGAAGGTCAGAACTACGCTACCTCCAGCGCCTCTTCATGTCCAACGGGTATCCTCGCAACTTCATCGAACGCGGCAGACAGGCCGGACCGAGCCGACGTTTGGAAACAGAACGGCCAAAAATATGGCGGACGCTTCCATACATCGGCGGCGTTTCTGAGGCGGTCTCCCGTCTCTTAAGACCGCTGGGGATCGGCATCGCCCACCGACCGGAGTCAACAATTCGACATCTGGTCATGAGGCCTAAGGCCCCTCTGCCACCAGGTGAAACCACGAACGCCATCTACCGGATCCAGTGTAACTCCTGTGAAGCCAACTGCATTGGGGAGACGGACAAACGACTACAGACCCCTGTTGGAGAACACATGAGGGCAGTAAGGCGAATGGACCCTTTGTCTCTGGTGGCCGAACACTGCGCCGATTCCGGGCACACGTTCGCCTTTCAGCATGTCAAAATTCTGGGCCGAGGAAGCGACTGCATAGCCAGGGAAACAATCGAGGCTTGGCACACGGGGACAACCTCCATCAACCGTTGTGTGGCTCTTCCCGCTGCCTATCAAGCCCTTCGAGCGCAGCTCAGTAAACAAATGAGCAGACGTGAACCCAGACTAAACATGAATCCAGACATGAGCGAGTCCATGGCGGATGCACACTCAGTCACCCCTCAACCTGGTTCCGACGAAGGCGCAGTCGTCACCACAGCCGTTCCATCTACTAGTCCGGCGGACGAGAAAACGGACAGTCGTTGCGGCGTAAACAAGATTGCCAGACTTGGACGACAGTTAAGGTCAATGAAGGTACGGACGACGACCACCAACGTCTCAACGCTGGCCTCCGATGTAGATTGAGTACTTTCCGTCACCCTCCCTCCCCCCCGTCCGCAACAGTCCCTGTGTGCAGGCGCTGGTGACCACTAAAGCCGATCCAAAGCCCTACCTTCATCCGGCGAGAAGACGCTCTAGGAATCCCTCCCCGCCCGTTCCTCCCTGCCGCCCTGACTTCATATGTAAGAAAAACCCGTCTTGACATGACTGTCACCCACCTATAGATACTGTGAGGCGCGATACCACACTCGCCTCCGACGATGGAAGCTTGTATGCTTTTGAAACGTCAGGACAGTAAAACTATGGTTCCCGAGATCGCCTTTTCATCACACACACATATATATATGCAGAATGGTATTACCGACAAAGACAAGGGAGACTGGAATGGCCATTTCTGGCTTATTAGCCGTCGTCAGCCAGCCATACCCGAGCCCGAAGTGTGGAACACCCGAGCCTCGAACTCGCGACCTGTTGGTTTAGAAGTCCACGCCTCTACCCACCGGGCCACGAGCCCGTTGCCCTGTCGGTTTTCGATCGGGAGTATACAATGGTAGGGGGCGCTCACCGATCGTTCATACGGAACTCACTCGTTCCGTTGTGCCTTAAGGGCTCTCTCTCGAGCCCAGCCAGCAGCCGCACAGAGCGCATGATGTATAGGCACAACGGAACGAGTGAGTTCCGTATGAACGATCGGTGAGCGCCCCCCTACCATTGTATATTCCCGATCGAAAACCGACAGGGCAACGGGCTCGTGGCCCGGTGGGTAGAGGCGTGGACTTCTAAACCAACAGGTCGCGAGTTCGAGGCTCGGGTGTTCCACACTTCGGGCTCGGGTATGGCTGGCTGACGACGGCTAATAAGCCAGAAATGGCCATTCCAGTCTCCCTTGTCTTTGTCGGTAATACCATTCTGCCTATACATTTTGCGCCGCTGTGCGGCTGCTGGTTGGGCTCGAGAGAGAGAGCCCTTAAGGCACAACGGAACGAGTGAGTTCCGTATGAACGATCGGTGAGCGCCGCATACGATTATATATATATCTAGATGAGGTGGTACAGACGGGGACAAAGGAGACCGAAATGACCATTTCTGGCCTATTAGCCGTCATGATCCAGTCATACCCAACTCCGAGTGTGGATCACCCGGGATTTAAACTTGGAATTTTGGTCATTGAGTGTGACATTCCTCCATTGAGCTACGGGCTTGTTGTCCTGTCGGTTGTGATAGGAATATTAATTGTGATAGATAGATGAAGATGGGAAGGCGATCGCTGGGACCAATTGTTTATTTATCCAACGTTTCGAACTCTCGCGCGGGCCCATCGCAAGGAATGAAAAACTGTGGCAACTCATCGTGTATTTAGCTCACCTCTGCCGGGGTTGACTTCTAGCCGCGCTGCTGATCTGCTCACGCAGTGCTTGATAGGCGATTGGCAGATCGATATGTCGATTAATCGAGTCCTCGGTTGATTGCCATGCTTCCTGCAGCAGGCGAGCAACTCGGTCGTCCGACTGGCCCAATATTCTCACGCACTGAAAGTCGAAGCCGCGTCCTGGCGTGGAGGCGTGGGCGGCTACCAAGGCGAGTTTATCCTTCCGTCTCACAGCCAACTCGTGTTCGTGCAATCCCGTGCGTACCTGTTTGCCGGTTTCACCAACATAATTGGCTTGACCACAACTGCAGTCTATCCGGTAAATGACCCCCGATTTCTGATTGATGGGAATCGGGTCCTTAGGGCGCATGAGTTGCCGGCGTATTGTTGCCTCAGGTCTGTGAGCGACACCAATCCCAAATTCGCTCATCAGTCTAGCAAATTCTTCTGACACACCGGCTATGTACGACACTGCGCGCCAGCATTTCGGTTTTGGTTGCTCCTTCGGTTTTCTTCCCCGGGTTTCTGGCCTGCACTTTTCGACAAAATTCCCAGGGTAACCGTTCGCTGTGAAGAGTTTCCGCAGGAACTGAACCTCAGCCTTCTTGTCGGCTGGCTCGGTGCAATGGGTTTCTACACGCCGGTAGAGTGTTATCACGCAGCTGCGTTTGTGCGAGAGGGGGTGGTGACTAAGAAAACTTAGAATACGGGAGGTATTCGTTGCCTTCCGGTAAACCGCTGTTTTTAGTTCACCATCACCTTTTCCCCGAACTAGTACGTCCAGAAACGGCAAATGGCAATCTTTTTTTTCCTCCATTGTGAACTGGATGTCCGGGAAGATCGAGTTGAGGTGTTGTGTGAATTCCCCAATCTTGTCCCGATTGATGATGACAAATGTGTCATCGACATACCGTACCCACAGTCGTGGCCGATAGTGGTCGAAAGCCAGTGCCTCCAGTCGCTGTAACACTGCCTCAGCAATCAAGCTGGATAACGGTGACCCTATGGGTGTACCTTTAACTTGTTCGTACACAGCTCCGTTGAAAGTGAAGAAAGTCTTCAAGATGGACACTCACGACCAGATTACAACGTGCTCGTCCCGTTATGCCTCGGGGCTCAAATTAGAACCCTCGCAGGCAGTCGCATAGCTGATGACGGTTAGTAAACCAGAGGTGGCCATTCCGGTCTCCCTTGTCTTTGTCAGTACCACCTTATCTACCTACATCACTAGTCGCTACGCGACTGCTTGCGAGGGTTCTAGTTTAAGCCCCAAGGCATAATGGGAAAAGCACGTTCCGTAACCTGATTAGTGAGCATCCGCCCATCATACTATTCAGTTCAGTTCAGTTCAGTTCAGTTTATTGAGGGAAATAGGCGTAAGCCTTTGAGTACCCTATTTGCAACGTAAAAAATGTGTGGTGTACAGATAGATGTTCTGGGCTGAAATAGTTCGAACACGCCCATAATGGTGGGACAAAATGAGAAGGAGTTACAGGGGTGAGCTCGACTTCTCATATATACTTGGGCAACTGTAGGTTGTGTAGCCCCACCTTGCATCCAGTAACTCCAGGCCCGTGCAATATGGAAATGGTTGTAATAGGGATCTTACGAGCGGGACATCACCACGGAGGCGGAACGAGATGAATGCAATAAAACACAGAAAACAAGTAGATTTTCGTTAAAATTCTTCTCTTACGCCTACATGTAGCAACGTGATTAAGCGCGTCACTTGAGGAATAACGAAAACCAATTCCCAGTAAATGAAACCTATTTAAATAAACCGCCACTTGCAAATTTGAAGCAGGCGAGGAAGTAATATAACGAACAGCCAATAGTAAAGAACAACAGCAAATGCCAAATCGTGCAGCTGTAGAAATTTACTGCGCACACTAATACTAGAGGAGCTATGAAAATGCACCCTAATGAACAAGAGCAAAGCCAAATAACGCAAGTATGAATGCCCGCTTGTATCTGTGCAATAAGACGACCTATAAATGCAATATAAAAAAGTAAAGAAAGTAAAGATACATATGTAAACGTTATGTACAATAACGGAATGCGTAAATAAACAAAGTAGGTAATAATACTTATTTTTTTCTTTCCATTATACGGACCGCTGACTCTGGTTCGAAGAATAGCCAGCCAACCGCAGCTTGATTTTTCGAGAAAAGCGGAAGGAATAACGAAACTATAAACTCGGAGAGGGTGGTGGAATACTGCCAAACAAGGGGACTTCTACCCAATGTGGCAAAAGCCAATTCGGAGGTCAAATGCATTGGCATTAAGAACTTGACGGTCGATCATAGCAAGCATTTCAATGATCTGATCACAGGAAAACACACCAGTGCAACTGAGGCCTATTTGAGCGGACTAATACGATAGTTCCACAAAGGAGAGCCGGTGACGGGTCATGCGATATCGGTCCACGTAGACGAATTTCAATATCGTCTGGGGTTTGACTTAGAGAGCGTTGGCCTAAAGCGAGCATGGGAAATATTCCTGTCGCATATTGTGAAGGCGTACCCAGTGCAACAGCTCCCTGGACAACGAGCCTGAAGTACTCCTTCCTGAAGGCATTTCAACGACTATTTGTAAGTAAATTTTTGTACATAAGTTCAACTACACTTAACGGTCTGATTATTAGTTATGTGAGGGACTACACACAAGTAAATAAATAAGTCAGGGATACGCATTCGGCAACAGAAACCGCTTGAAGATTCGAGGGAGTCGAGCATCTGTGTTCCAATCGAGACAAAGTAAACCAAAGCGCAGTCGACGACCCTTATAGCACGCGTTGTATGGCGAGTGCTGACATGGCACAAAAAGGTTAAGCTCGTCTTTTCGGAGAATCGAATAAGTCATGGCGTACGTAATCGGTAGCAAAAGGAAACGCAAGTACATTGCTGTACTAAAGCGAATGTAGCAGTTAGTTATGCATATTAAACTCAGTGGGGTTACACAACCTATCCTTGTCTATATTTGGTTCGAGAAGTAACTCTACAAATTTCTGAAAAGGAAGGCAGACGTTTTTTTCGGGCTTGGGTCATTCTGGTCCAGCCAGTTATAACCCTCACCACCGTGTGCACTCAGAAACACCAGTTCGGCCGTGGCGAACAACGATGCTCACTGTGTACCTCACAGTCTGGTGGACGCAGGTACAGCGACCCCTGCGTGAATTCGTTTGCAGTAATGACAGACTTGCACCGCATCTACCACGCTCACTCCTCTCTCACCTACTTGAGTCGGATGGCTAGACAGGGTGGGGTCGGCAGGAGGAGGGGTCGTGCGCATTGGCTGACAAGGCTCAACAGCCCGTCTACGCGTGCCACACACGTCCAGTCCGCGCGCGCGACTCACCAGGTTTCCACAAAGAACCAAGGAAGGGACAGCTGGGACCCAATCTGATTGGAAGTGCCATAAAGGCCACAGTAAGAAGGGGCAATTTCAGCCTGGCTCTCTGCCCTGAGGGGCCAGATTTACCCAGTCTGTTGACAGCCTCCCAAGCCACGACTCTTAGCGTATCGTAATAGTTTAAAAAATGAGTCGGATTGTTTATAGTGGCGCAGTGTGCTGAAACACAGTGGGGACAAATCTCCAGAATCGACCCCACTCTCTCTCTTCCCTCTCTTAGACATCAGTCCACCCTCTGGGCTGA